GGTCATCCCAGATTCCAATCTCCAAACTCATCGGCTTGGATGAGATCCTCTAGCCGCCCACCCTCGGAGGGTCGGACAGGGACCCAGCCCACGAAACAGATGTTTCTGCTCGTCAGCCTCCCAGGGAGAAGGGGAGAGCAGATCCTTCTCATTCTGTCTACCCTGTGCCTTCCCCTGGCCTACAGGGTGCCGTGGGGCTCGTGCATCGGGGGGATTTCCGTCCTGAGCTGAATTTTGCTGCCGGGAGCCCCAGGCTGGGCCTACAGAGGAGGGGAGGGGTGCTGCGAGTGGACTGGGCACAGAGCAGAGGCAAGATGCTTCGTCACTTACGGTCACGGTCTCAAGCAAGCCCCAGCCTGTTCGAGCCACAGCTTGGTCACCAGCAGGAGGGGGACAGTAAGGCCTCCTGGTCGGTCTCACCCACCGCCCGGGAGCCAGCGGCATTGGCGCGAGGAGGCCAGAGGCGGCTGGGCTTGTTCAGACTCCATCCCGCCGCATTCCACTTCTCCGAGCCTGGCTGCTGTCTCGAGCCTTTGCTCACCCACAGGCTCGCTGCTCCTCGGGCCTGGACTGTCGCCTTCTCTCTCCGGGTGGTCGCCGTGGGTGCTCCGATCAATCCTCTTCACAGGCTGGCGGCTGTTCCCAGCTGCTCTGCAGGGTGGCTGCTGAGGGCTCAGCTGTGCCCCATCTTGGGAGACTTTCCCTGAGCCAAGGAAGGGGGTCCCCAGATGCCTAGAAAGTTCTCACCTCCACACCCAGAAGTGACCCGCAGCCAGTGATGGACAGATTAAAGCACAAAAGCCCAGCCCCCTTCTGCAAGGCCCGACAAGTCTGCAGGGCCACACAACATGCCAGAGCTCCAGTTTAGAATTCTCTGGATAGAAAGAGCAAGAAATGGGCTATACTCCCCCCCCCCACCCCCGCCGCGAGACATCCCACATCTTGCCTCCCAGGTAGGCAGGTTGGTGCTGCAGAGGAAGCAGGAGCAGGAAAGGCAGACCCAGGACGACTTAGGTAGGTTTCTAGACATTTCTAGGCCTCTGTCCTTATTTATAGGAAGTGGGTCATAATTTTTACTTTGTTGCTTCGATGTACGAATTCCAGAGTAGTGACAAAGCCTCTGCAATGGCGTTTGGCGCACAACATGACCCTGGAGGGAGGCCTGGGTGGCTCAGCGGTTGAGCGTCCACCTTTGGCTCAGGGAGTGATCCTGGAGTCCCAGGATCAAGTCCCGCATCAGGCTCCTTGCATGGAGCCTGCTTCTCCCTCTGCCTGGGTCTCTCATGAATAAATAAAATCTTTAGAAAAAAAAAATGACCCTGGAAGTGTGGCTGCCCCTTCCCTTCTCTCTCAGGAGGAGGAAGGCTGAGGAGGGCAGCTGGTGGGAAGGCCAGCTGGTGTAGGAACCATGCCCTCTCTGACCTGTGGTCTGTGGTGACCAACCCTGGCCCAGCAGGAGTATTGCAGGCCCATTGCTCGCTGTGGCATGTCCGTGGGCACTAGTGACCTCATAACCCCTCCTCTGTGGCTTAGTTCAGGAGCCAAACCACCTGTAAATGAAAACTTCTGATACCCCACTTTGGGTTTGGAGGCCATATTGCCTGAGCACTGGCCTGCCATGGGGCCCCTGGGCCACGAAAGACCTGCCAGGTCTCTGGTGGACTTCTCTGTGTGCCCCCAAACCTCCAGCTCACACCCTGGACCATTGCCCCCAGCAGCCTCAGCCCACCAATCGGTAAACCCCAAGCCAAGGCTGCTCCACTCTGTCAAGAGGCACCCCCTAGCACAGCACAGGCTCTCTTTCCTATAGCTGCTGTGGAGGGAAGGGCGCAGAGGCCACTTGGGAAAACTTCTACTCTGGATGCCCTAGGCAGGCCACCCCACCTGAACCAGACTTGATCGAAGGGCTGAGGCTAGGCTCACACGTATGGTTTCCAGCTCTTGGCTTTTTGTCCCTTGCTCTGTTCTCCCCATGTCACAATCTAGTGTGTCCTGGGACAAAAGTGAATGGCCACAATGGGGCCAGAACAAGGTTGGGAGCTTCCCAGGCCCCTGGCAGGCTGTCTGTGGTGGGGCTACCATTTAAAGAAAAGTGGGTCTCCAGCACCAGAGAGATCACTGTCACCTAGATGAAGCTCCAAGAAACAAACCAGCAGGCATGGAATCAAGGAAGCGGATAAAACAAAGGTTTCAGGACAGGAGGTGAAAATACCAAATAGTAGGGCTGATTCTACCCAATGGGATTAAAATTCCTCCAAGTTTACAGTTTAAATCTTTTTCCTCAACAGGCCTGGGATGCATATTTTTCTAAATGTTCCCTACTTTCTGACCAAAGATAATCCCATTCTAGACCATTAGCTTATTCTTACTCAGGCAAGATTACTCATAATAAGGCGTTCTCATTTATCGCGAGCTTGTTCCGTGCCATGTGCTTTGCACACATTCTCTCACTTTATCCTCATACCCCAAGGCATTATTTTTACTCCTGTAAGGATCAGAGACATTCCAGGGCTTGCCTAGGTCACGGAGGTTTCAAGTGACACAGTCACTCCGTCACAGAGTCACACAGAACCTTGGTCCGGCTGACTCCGGAGCTCACGCCCTTGGCCACCATATTGGCTTATCCACTGGGAACAGGAGAGTTCCACGAAGGGAATGTTACCTCCTGTTCTTCTGTCCTCAGGCTGCAAGATTCTGAGGAGGTTCCCACACCTGCCCACACTGAGTGGCTGCAAACAACAGCTTTAGGGGGCTGCTTTTCACTTCTTTAGATTCCACTGCATACAACAAAGAACCTATGCTCTCCTAGTTGGGGCATGTCCTAACTGGCAACTAGCTACTGCAGGAGAAAAAAAATGAAAAAAACAAGGGGGACAGGCTTTTAGCTCATTTGGATCTTCACATAATTGCACATTTTGATATATTTCCCCCATTATTGAAATACTGCATGGCCAACACAAGTTAGAATATGCAAAAAAGTAGAGAAGGAATAAATTACTTGTAGGACTCCCAACCAATGATTTGTGGGCAAATCTCCTCTCTGCGTAAAGGTTAGGGTTGGTTGGAATTTTAAAAAATCATCAGGATTTTAAAAAATTATCAGGTCAGGATCACATTGTGTAAATATTCTGATTTATTCATGAGAAAGACGTCACATTACTTTTTTTTTTTTTTTTATAAACCATCTTTGGTTGGCTGCTTTTCCTTCCATTGACTGGCTGCACCCTATTTTCCTTAATCAGCTCCCCAAGGGTGTGTAGTTGGGGTGGGAGGAAACATGTCTAAGCCTTTTTTTCCAGCTCATTTATTGTTTCAGGGTGTCAGAGATCAATTTCATTTTCCTTGGCAGGCAGTTGGCGCCTACTGTAGTGGCATCTGTCATGGGGCTTCCCAGGCGCCGCCTCCTCTATGCGTAAGCCTGCTTCGTAACTCACTCGCTTGACAGCAGTAACCCTGCCATCGCCCGTGAACCTGGGCAATCCACTGATTTGGCCTCAACCTCTGCCTCCAGCCCTATGGAAGCCACACCATGTTCTCACAACCGTCAGCCACTCTCCATCCCTGCATAAGGCCAGTTACGGGGTGGCGGCCGGGGGCACGGGCGAACACAGTAGGGAGGCATCAGGGGATTCGGAGGCCAGAAGATGTGGGTTTGGATCCCAGTTCTACTTTTCTGCTGTGGAATCAGAGCAAATCATTGAACCTCAGAGCCCAGGCTTCTTCGTATTTATGAGGCTAATACCCTCCCCTCTAGGGTTTCTGTGGGAGTTAAATGACATAATGCAAGGGAACCTGTTGAGTCCAGTTTTTGACCTAATCAAAGTAGTTAATAAAGGACTGAGATCATTCCCCACCCCACCTCCCTGCCCCCAGGGATTAGCGTTCTGTTCCATTGTTCCTTTATACCAACCATGTCCAGTAGTACCAAGGAGCTCTTGTTTTCTTCTTCTTCTTTTTTTAAAGACACAGAGAGAGGCAGAGACACAGGCAGAGAGAGAAGCAGGCTCCATGCAGGGAGTGCAATGTGGGACTCAATCCCAGACCCTGGGGTCACGCCCTGAGCTGAAGGCAGATGCTCAACCACTGAGCCACCCAGGCATCCCAGGAGCTCTTGTTTTCCAAAGGTTTATCCTCTTGAAGAAAACTTCTCCAAAGGCAAGACCAGTTAGCCCAGCAGCCTTGAGGCTTTAATGGCCCATTGCTCTGGCCAGATTATGTGCAGATCAAGGGCTCCCTGCCCTTACCCTGTCACAGGTTCCAGGCTACTCAGCTTACTTTAGGAAGAAATAGGACAATCAAGCAAAAACACTTGAGGCTCCCTCCCTGTATCAAATATCCTCATCCACTAGCTTATGTTGAACCTACACAGGCTGTAGAATGGGACTGTGTGCACCCAGGTCAGCTCGGGAGCATCTAAGCACCTGCTGGGGAGTTCCGGTCCTGCCTCCCATTCTGGGCCTCGTCTTTCCTAGCTTTCCTCCTTCATGTTTGGGTCCCTACACCAGACTCCTCTCAGTGAAGCTGAAGATAGGAAGAGGACGGGCTCGTTAGACATTACGGTTCAAATCCATCAATTAACCCAGTGGCTCTCAAAACTTGCTGCCGGTTAGAATTACCCATGCAGCTTTTAAAGCTCCTTGAGGCCCAAATACACCTTAGAGTAATTAAATCGGAATTTCGGGGCATGGGGACCAGGCTGTATTAAGTTGATCTGTAACTGTGAACAATCAATTGAGATAACTCACTACCTTCGGACCAGCCAGGCTGTATTAAGTTGAGAATCAGTAACTTAACTGCTGCTGTTGCTAAGGGGCCTGAACCAGCATTGTATATGGCATTCTGGAAGTCCGGCACACACCTCACTTTGTGACTTTCCAGGTGGAGTCAGGCCCAGAGCCGGTGCTTCTGATGACAATGGAGCACCTCAATCTGTTCCTGATTAACTCCTAGAATTGGAAATATGGTGGCTATAGCAAGATCACACATATGTCCCAAAGTCATACATGACAAACATTTTATTGCGTTAAAAAAAAGTCATCTGTTAGCTGCTAAGCTGTAGCCACATGTGAGGCTACTTCGGAAAAATAATAGAGATTTTCAGGGGCGCAGAATGGCTGCACTCTCCTCCACTTCCCCAATAAGCGTTCATCAGTGGCTCAGGCCAGTTCTGGTAAGAGCACCTAATTGTTGACTTCACATAAAACCAGATTACCCTAATGCACGGACAACCTCGCTGGCAGCCAGACGGCAGTGGTGGCTCGAACGTGGAGGCAGCGCTCGGTGGCATCGGCCCACTCGCCTGGGGCAAGCTCACTCTGGCTAACGAGAGGCGCTGGGGGCACAGCAACGTCGGGCCATCTGGGGCCCACATGAGCAGCCTCCCAATGGGGCTGCGGTGGGCCTGGGATCGGCACCAGCTGAGCTCAGAACCAGCGTGGTTCTGCTTCACGCCGCAGCACATTTTACATCCCGGGGGAGTTGGAAGCCATGCTTCGCCCAAGAGCCCGTGTGTCAGCAGCAGAGCAGGCCCGGCAGCGGGGACGCCTGCAGAGAGGGACCAGGCTCAGAGCAGCTTCTGCAGATTGCAGCGGGCTCGCCACACACTGGACATCTGGACACGATCCAAATGGCTCCCCCGTCCAGCGTGAGAGTGAGTAGACCATCTGCATTGATGCCCAAGCTGTCACCCGTTTAACACTGGCTGTCCATACTGCTCCTGTGCCGGGTGTGGGTCCTCAGTTTACCCTCATGTTTCCGGGGTGTGCCTAAGGCAGCACAATTTCTAGGAGTCAGAGCTCCCAGGCTGCCCAAGAGGCACCAGGTTCATTCTCACTTGCTTCTCTTCTTGCCTTCCTGTAGACCCCCAGGGGACACCCAGCAGTTCCTCTGGTGGCTTCACCTGCGTCAGCTGGCTTCCTCCACCTGCAGCGGTTGCCCAAGCCCTCTGCCCCTGCTTGCCCTCCTCCTCTGTCCACACCCACCCTCACCCCTGCACCGGCCCCGCCACACAGGCTCACTGCCCAAGCCCATGTCAGAGCACGAGGACATCTGTTGCTCCCCCGCCCCGGGCCAGCACACTCCCAAGCCTTCCTCCCCTGCAGCAGTGGGAAGGAGGCCCCCTCCTTCCTCAGAGGCCGCCCTCCTGTAGTCAGTCCTGCACCAGAAAGTTGATGAGGGCCGTTCTAGGGGACAGGAAAGCCTTCTTGATGCTTCGCCCCTGCAAGAGCTTGACACCCAGCTCGCTTTGGAGGACAAGTTCATGGACCTTGTCCTGGTCCTGCGCGACTCCTTGGGGCACGGGGATTTTGCCGCAGGCTTTGTTGTTGATCTGGGAGGGAGAAGAGCAGAGACAGAGGATGAGGAGTGGTCCTGAGAGTAGCAGGTGGCCCCAGGCCAACGCCCGCTTCCTGTAGACGGGCAGCATCTGTGCGGGGAGGCAGGAAGACACAAGCACCAGCTTCCCCAGAGGATGGAGGGCAGTGAGGACAGGATTAACGCCCGTAAACCACAGACCAGGGGGGAGAGAGGATGCGGGCGCCCCAGCCCCGAGTGCGCACCTGTGCCTCTTGAGCGCCACCCCATACCAGCTGTGCTGGTGGTTAGCTCAAGACCCTCAGCGGCTTCCAGGGGGAGAGGGATGGTTGGGTCACTGGGGACCGAGCCTAAGTTCCACTCACAGGGGGTGTCACCGTGAGGATTTAACCCCGGCTCCTGGGGATGGCAGGCAACCTCCTGGCTGGGGGCCTGGCTCCGAAATGGGGCACCCAAGAATGGGGACTGGGAAACTGGACCCACATCACTTTAACTCAGCCTTGCTGAGAACGGGGTCCGTCTGGTTCCAGACATCGGTGGGTATTCACCAAGTACTGTTCAGTGAGGACAAAATTCACAGCAAATATGAATAGATATCGGCACTGGGTGTGGGAGCTTCTGAACAGCCTTGCTTTAGATCCTCCATCCCACCGCTCCTGTAGGAACACTTGCATTTCTTTCATTTGTGCTCTTTCTCCCCTCACCAAGATTTTGTTTATTTATTCATGAGAGACACACACAACACAAAGAGGCAGAGACATAGGCACAGGGAGAAGCAGGCTCCCTGTGGGGAGCTGAATGCGGGACTTGATCCCCGGGATCACACCCTGAGCGGAAGGCAGATGCTCAACCACTGAGCCACCCTGGTGCCCCTAATGTTCCTGTCTTGTTCTTGTTTTTTTTTTTTTGTTTTTTTTTTTTTTTACTGGGAAAATACAGACATTGTATTATGAAAAGTTATCAGGAATCATTTTGTAGGTTTCAACCAAAGCCTATCAGGTGTCCTCATGACCCAACTTCATTTTTTTCAGATTTACTAAGAACTCAGTGGCATTTTTCTTGGTTGTATCAACCTACATCACTGGTGGGGGCCCAATAAGATAAAACATTGTGTCCTGAAATAATTCTAAAATATGATTCTCCTAAAAAAGCTTCCTGGATGCAGGGTGTTGGTGTCCTAAAGCTATGAACTGGGGCTGCTATTCAAAGGACAGTGCCCCCTGCCACCCCCTCCTCCCACCACCTTGTTTCTAAGCCACTAGAAGCCGCCTTCTTTCATGAACACATGCTTGCTTTGACCAAGACCTCAGAAAAGACCCCCCACCCTGTCACATCAAAGCTGTGCCCTTCTTCAGATCCTGGGGGCCCCAAAATGCATTCTCAGAACTGGGAGTGGTAATGAGTCCCGGCTCCAGCTTTGGCTCTTGGTTCTGACCCAGGGAAGAGTGGCCCAGGGCAAGGGCTCTTTAGCCACTTGCCGTGATGGGGCGTGTGGGGAGAGAGCACATGCTCTCATGCAGACTCTCAGGCCTGGACTTCAGTTTTCTCTTCTTTAAGGATGGAATTCTCTGGATGGCTGAAGGAGATAACCTGTCTGAAGGTCCCTTCCTTACACTCCCTTATTATGCCCCTGCCTTTGTTGGGACTCCTGGCTACGATGGAAGGAGCCAGTGTGAGATGTCCTCTTCTATACATGGCCTGGGCACCATGACCCTACTTTTAGACCGAGTGCCTCCCTGGAGCCTGGGGGCTGACTCTCAGCTGTCCCTGGTGAGGCCTGTCCAGGGGCTGAGTCATTTTTGTCCCTAGTTGGGCCTGGGGGTGGGGCAAGTGACCTGGATGTGGCCAGGGAGCCCAGTGGGCATTCCCACATGGCCTGGACACCCTCTCACGGCTTCTGGCTCCCCGGGCCTTCCCCTTAGTTGCCTAACCCAGGGCAGTTCCTTAGAGTGAGGGGGTCTCCAATGCACTCCACCTCCTGGCATGAGGCACCAGGTAAATGGACAACAGAAGCCCAGGTGGGATTCCACACTGGACTTGGCCTTCAGGGGTCCACAAGGGAAGAAGCTCTTTCAAATCACCTCAAGTAGTGGCCATTTGACTTGCGAAAAGTCTTCTGGTCCCCATCTGGTGGCCTTGCAAGCTTCCATCTTTGTCACCTCCCCTCATTACTCACAGCCTCGGTCTAGGGCCTCAGCGTTGTTCTCTGAGACTTTGCCAACTGTTGCCTGATGGGCCCCTGGCCATGAGCACTACCTCCTTCTCATCCATGGCCACCCAGAGACACAAGGGCAGCCCTGTGATAGCTACGAACAATGAACACTCCCGCTGACTAAGCTCTCACTCCATGCCAGGTGATGAGCTATGCAATCCACTGAGCCAACCTGTTCATCCTCCCACAACCCTGTGAGGTGCGTGTATAACCACTCTGTGCCCATTTAACAGATGGGGAAGTTGAGGCACACAGGGTGAAGCCACTTCATCCAGCAAGTTATGTGAATGGGATGACCCCCCTCCACCCCCGTCAGATGCCCTGCCAGCCCCCAACCCTCTCAGAGGCAGAGCCTGGCCTTCTCCCCAGCTCACAGACCCACCATCCCCAAGGGCTTTCCCTGCCTTTGCTTCTGCCAATGAGGCATCCTCTTCTCCATGAGGGAAACACCGCTCCCCTTCATAGAGCCCGTCCCACGCCCCCTCCCTGCACTGTCCCCGCTGCCGGAAGCAGTGACTGCCCACAGCAGCAGCCAGCGGGACCTGCCATCTCCCTCGGGGATTAGGCCTGTACTGCCGCTGTTCCCTCACCTGTACTGTGGACTTGGTTACATGTCATCTGTGACATGGGGAAAACAGAGCCCACTCCCAGGGCTGTCGTGTGGGGTAAACGAGTCAGTATCTGGAAAGTTCTTAGGGCAGAGCCTGGCCCTTATGCGGCGCTCACTACTTGTTAATGGGTTTTGTTGTTAGTGCATCAAGAAGCGGGCTAAGCACCTCCTGGTATTATTTGATTTAATTCTTTCCACAATGGGCAAAGCTAGGTGCTGCGTTTGCCTCCTTTTGTAGCTGAGGAAGCTGAAGCTACAGAAGCATTTTGTAAAATGGACACTTCCAATCAGGACGGTCTCACTCCCAAGCTCTATGCCTTAACCTCAAGGCTATAGAACTCCCTGTGTGTGTGGCAGTTGTGGGGCCCTGAGAGCATCACTCCTGGGCACTGAGCCTCATGAATCTATGGTGGTGCCTGGCCTGGGTGTACCTGGTGTTGGGCCCAGCCCTGTGTGACACGGGCACGGCGAGACCAAACCACGCTGAATGACAACGTGCTATATATACTGCAGTTGCTCCTTCTGGCCAGGGCACCAATCGAGATCCCATGGACACAGAGCACAGCGTGGCACGCTGCCCTGAGCCGGAGGTTCTCCAACTGGGCAAACCCACAGGGAGTCCTACTCACATTTTAAACTTTGGGTTTTCATTTCCACGATAACTTAAAACTATTTTATCAATTACCAGAACTGAATTTCTTTTCTGCAGTGATTAAAGTGGAATGATAGTTTACAGACTCAAACTTTGGTTTCTCAAGTCGGCATTTCTTGTGCTATGGACGAGTTCTCTGGGGGTACACAAGACATTTCTTATAAACGTTACTTAAGGTAAAGAAATCTCTCTGTGCCACAAGGCTTCTTCTGGTTTTGAGGAGTTTTGGAAGAAGCCCACCAGGGCAGGCCCACCTCCTCCCTGCTATGGGGGAAGCAAAGTGGGGTTGGTGGGGAACTAGGTGCCTGGAGAGGTGGTGTGGAGACAAAGTGACTGTGAAGGGGCCGGGTCTCCTCCACAGAGTTGGCTCTTCAAACACCGACCTGCTGGCTAGGCCCAGGGTTTGTACAGATGCAGGAGGGCAGGGGCCTGGCAGACTGAGTGCCTGTGAGCCTGGGCTCTCCCCCAGCTCCCGAGTGATGTGTGTTCATGGCCCTTTTCACCATGTGTAGTAATTTTGTTTTTCTTTACTTTTTCTTTTCCCAATCTCTCCCCCTCAGCTTTCAGCTCCATCAGGGCAGGGACCCTGTCTGTCCTGTTTGATTTGTATCCCCAGAGCCTAGCACTGAGCCTGAAACACAGCAGGTAACTTGATAATTACAGAGGAATAAGCAAATAAACTTGGGCCAGGTGACGGACTTCTCTGAGCCTGATTTCTCAAGTGAAAACAATGAGAATGGAAATGCCTACTTTCCTGAGTGATAAGAGTTTAATTACATTTTGGATGTGAATGGCCTGGCTCCGTGTGTGGTGCAGAGACGTGCTAAGAGGTCTCCCTATTCCTCTTTCCCTCTTCAGCCACATCAGCATCAATTTTCTGTATGATGTGTTTCAGAGTAAACACATTAGATATTCAAGGATTACATAAAGGATAAACTGTTATTTGCTCTATAAAAGGTTGCAATAAAAAACTAGTTTTATGTATCTACAATGATGTAATTAACCAAAAAGAAAGAAAGAGAAAGAAAGAAAGAAATGTTATGTAGCCTTTCTGAAATAGATTTTTCAAGGAAGTGTTCCTGGTCCGCCAACCTGCTCACCATCACCCTCCTCCCTGAACGAACCAAGAGCCACTGAATGAAGCAGAAGCTAGAGGAGATGGGAACACAGGGGGAGAGCAAGGCCAGATGAGAACCTGTAATGCAGGCCCTTCTAATCCCTGGAGGGCCTCCAGCGCTTTCTGCTCACAAGCTTTTGGTATGTGGTGACCTCAAAGCTGAAGTGTGCAAAGGTAAGACAGGCAGGGACGGTCAGGCTGAGTCAGGCTGGGTGGGCTAGAAAGGCCTGACGGGACACCTCTCAACCCCAGAGTGTTTGCGGGCTGCAGCGGGACTGGGACCTGTCCCTGGTCAGGTCCGCCCCCGGCTCTGGGGCTGTGGGAGACACTCACCAGGACAGCCATCTCCACCACGTCAGGCTGCTGAAGGAACTTCGGGTCCACGGTAGGCCACGCCTGAAGCAGCACACCAGCGTCCCAGGCGTAGTGGGCACACAGCTTCCCAGGCACCTGTGCCAGGCCTGCAACACCAAGGCACAGAGGGTCATGGGAGCAGGGTAAATAGCCTTTGCCCCAACACAGTCTGGTTTGGAGCTGCCTGAGGAGGCCACACCTTGGTTTTACACAGCCTCCCAGCCCCCCCCCCCCCCACTTACTTTGGCCTCGCTTATCATCCTGGGTTATAGGTAGCACCCCCTCCCCATTTTTTAAACCTATAAGAGCAACATTTTTTTTTAAAATATTTTATTTATTTATTCATAGGCAGAGGAAGAAGCAGGCTTCCTGTGGGGAGCCTGATGTGGGACTTCATGCCAGGCCCCCAGGATCATTACTTGAGCCAAGGCAGCTGCTCAACCACTGAGTCACCCAGGTGCCCCCCTGTTCCCTTTTTTAAACCGTACCCAGAGCTGCAAAGATGCATGGGCATGTTGTTTTAAAGTGTGTGTTTGGAAAAACAAGGCTGCTGATTTTCCTTGGTCTCTGCACTTCTGTTGATGAAGGAATGCCTTTGTGCTCCTGAGTGCAGAACCCAAAATAATGAGCTGTGCTCGCTTCCTTTCTTGCCTGTGAATACTTGTGGTCTGTAAAGGCCTCTGACCCAGTCCTTTTACTCATGATCACTGGAGCCAACATGCCGAGAACAGCAGGGTGTTCCTTCTCGACCTTTGCAAAGGGATCTCAGCCTTCACACTACACTTTTTGAGAGGGGCTCCTGCCAATGACTGAATTGGGAGTGCTGACTTGGCTCAGGCTGGGTCAAATGCGAGCCAGCAGTGTGGAATGAAAGCCCCAGAAGGCTTGTGTCCTAGAGGGCTCCTTGCTGAAGCCCCCCAGTAGAGGCAGCCGTGCTCAGCACCCACAGTGCTCTATAAGGACTTCAGCCAAGGGCTGCTCATGGGAAAAGCTTCGACTTCAGAGCCTCTGCCGATCTCATGAGCACAAGAGATGCCCTCAAACATGCAAGAAACACACACATCAGAAAACAGAGCTCGGGGTATTACCAGTGTGGCTACATTGCCATTGCCTCCACATCCTCATCCTCCACATCCACCCTCCTGGTGGGCCTGGCACAGGGGCTGGCAGTGAATGAGGCAGTATGCCCCCTGCTTGGGCAGAGCCATCACAGCTGCACGGCCCTCACCCCGTGAATGACTTTTCCAAGGGTGGTGGAGGTGGGTTGGCCCTTGCACACCTCTTCCTTGAGCCCAGGAGATGCATTTGAAGGAATGGGCCCAAGCCTCACAGGTGGTCTGAGGCCAGCTGCAAGACAGAGGGAGTGAATCCTACCAACGCCAGTGCCTGGAATGCTGGGCTGTGGCTAATAACATTTTATTTTCCTTGATGGCAAAAGTAAGGTATGTTCCTTGCAGAAAATTTGAAAAGGTCAAACTATAAAGTAGAAAGTCATGTTCACCTGCATAGCATTTTTTAAACTTCTGGTTTTCTTTAAAGATTTAATTTATTTTGAGAGAGAGACACACAGAACAGAGGGAAGGATAGAAGGAAAGGGAGAGAGTCTCATGCAGACTCCACATGGCACTGGATCCCATGACCCTGAGCTGAAATCAGGTTGGATGCTTAGCCAACTGAGCCACCCAGGTACCCCTAAACTTCTGATTTTGAAGAACAGTAATGTATGTAATGAATAGTATATTAACCAACCCACCAAACCAAACCGCTACCCCCAGGATCATACTATATAGTAGCTTTGTATTCCCTTCATTTCATTATTTTAAGACAATGTTTCATTTCATGGAAAGGGATGATCTACAATAGCACATATAGCATGATCCTGGTTTTACTAAATATTTATATGAACAGATAAAAGGTCAGAAGAATAAAGCAGAATAACAGCGGTGATTCTATCTGGGAGGTGGAAGCATCGGTGATTCTTTTAATGCTTTATAGATTCTCTACAAAAAACATTTATTACTTCAGTAATTTGAAAGGATATTTCAGAATCAACTTTTCCCACACTGTGGGGTCAGTTCAAGATTTTTCTTCTGGTTTCTTTTTTAAGGTTGCATTTTGTTTCCCATTTAATTTTTTTTAAAAAAGATTTTACTTATTTATGAGAGACAGAGAGAGAGGCAGAGACACAGGCAGAGGGAGAAGCAGGCTCCATGCAGGGAGCCCGACGTGGGACTCGATCCCAGGTCTCCAGGATCACACCCGGAGCCGAAAGCAGCGCTAAACCGCTGAGCCACCTGGGCTGCCCTCCCATTTAATTTTTGAATCCAGCTGTACTTCATCTTGTGTGTGAAGCAAAGGAGCACAACATGGTTGCCCAAACCTAATTCAGAGAGTAAACCTTCCCCATTGGTTTGTGATTTTTCTTTTATAAAATACCATAGGGGGATTGTCTCAGGATCATCCAAAGCTATTACCTGAAGCTACTCAAAGTGCCCATCTGCCATGTGCTGGAGCAGAGGTTGGAATGTGGATCCACACACTGGTTTTTTGAAAGTCTTGCTACCAAGAACTTGGTCAGCCTAACTTGTGTGCTCGGAGACACAGTTGGTCTAAGTTCTCAGCTCAAGCTGCGTATCTCGTTTGCAGACTGTTATAGCCAGTGCTCAGACAGGCCTCAGGGCTACGGCCCACTCTGAGGACACCAGACCCATTCCACGCTGTCGACTTCAGTCTTTTTTTTTTTTTTTTCCCAAGATTTAATTTATTTATTCATGAGAGACAGAGACAGAGTCAGGGACATAGGCAGCGGGAGAAGCAGGCTCCCTGTAGGGAGCCTGATGCAGGATTCGATCCCAGGACCCGAGGATCACGACCTGAACCTAAGGCAGACACTCAACCACTGAGCCACTCAGGTGTTCCTCAACTTTTGTCTTGTTTCTTGCGTGACCATCACAGATTTATGTGTTGCACATTATAGGTTTTTACTCTTTGGCTCTCTTGGCATAACCCTGTGCTGCTCGTCAGCCTGAGGGAAGAGAAAGCCCATCAGAGTCTGTGCATCAAGTGGTGTCAAAGATGTATTCCTGGGGCCCAGCTGCCCCTAAGCCCTGGGCTTCCAGCACTTGCTGATGAACCTACTCCATTTCTAACAGATGTGCCTTCTGGCAGGGTCCCAAAGGAGCTTCCTGCTTGTTACTCAGAAGGGGTACTATTAAGACTCATATCTAAATACAAGACAGAGGTCACAGAAGGGAGATAATCACTTCTTTATTTTAGCAGGCTGGCCCAGGATGGCTCATCCTGTGATCCAGCTGCAGTGGGAAGGATCCAGAACTTCTGCGTGGTACTTGTACAGGATGCCTGGGAGATGAAAAGGGCCTTGGACACAAATGTTCTAGGCAGAAGCTGTTGCAAATTCCACTGGAAAAAAAAAATGAGGAAGCTCAGCCTTCCTGGAGCAATCAGGATGCTTATTTATAGCAGCCTGGGTCCCCGCCAGAGTTTCCATATAGATGGGAGTGGAGCCATCCCGCTTGGCGGCGAGGAACAAAAAACTCAATGGCTGTGGGTTCTACGCAGTGTATTTGTCTCCCTCCTCTTTAGGGAAGTAAAAATACCTAATGTTTGCATATAGCAAATACAATGGTTTCTTTACGAGACACAGGCCAGGTCGAGAGCAGACCCTTGGGTAACACCTGGAGAAAATCTGAACACAGGCTGGGAAGTGTCAGAGCCCTGGCATACAAGGCCATCACACAGGGCCGGCTGTCCCCCACGGCCCACCCCCTTCCTGCTCCTCCTCTGGGAGAGCTGTTGTGGCTCACCTTCCTTCGAAACGACCGAAACAACCAACTCAAGCCTCCTCTCATGCTCTGAGAGCTGGTGAGGTCACCGCGGCCACCATGGCACCTGGGAATGGGTGGTGGTGCACTTGCGGTGTCTGGGGACAGCAGTCTCTCTGGTGGCCACCATCAGGCCTGCTTCCACCCCGACCTCAGCTTGTGCACTCACACACAAGGGTGGACTTGGGGACTCCAATGGCCTCTGAAGCCAACTGAGCTTCATCTGGCTCTGGCGATTCCAAGAAAATGGATAGAATGTGATGCCGCTTCATTTGAGCCTTTATCCACAGAAAGAATTCCACTGACATTATTTTGAAATAACAACACTGACTCCGCACCCATATTCATATGTAAAATGCCACCAGGTCATCAGTGAGAACTTCTTTTCCTGTACAATGATCACACACACACACCCCTACGTGATTTGTATGTTTGTAATTTTGTTGAAATTAAGGGATACATATGTATATAGCAAAACTCTAAGCTACAATATTTTGCAGACACTTTCATTTTACGAAGAAAAATGGATTTGTGGCAGCAGCCTGATCCTTCAGGATAACGAGTTACCTCTGGATGCGCAAGTGGGGGCACGGGGTTCCCTTGCTGTGACCTCACAATTATGGTGGTGACGGGACACCTGGAGCTCGCACGAGGCAAAGCCTGAGGCAAGAACACGGACAGAAATTGCTACACAGCCATAAGAGTGGCCAGAAAAGTAGAAACAGAGATCTTACCACCACATTTTAAGTAACTTGTATTTTGGGTAAGCAGCACAAAAAGTAGCAGAACAATCACCCAAATGCCCACTACTGGATGACTCATAGGACATTCTCAGGATGGCACACACCACGGCCAGTAAAACAGAAAGGGTACGTCCGTAAGTGTTGACACAGAACTGGTCTCACACACACACAGAGAGAAAAGCGTTTGTACAGCCTGCCAACATTTGCATAGAAACAGATGCATGTCTCACATCCTCCATGCGTGGAGTCCTAGTGTCAGATTGAAGAGCCAATACGGAGCAGGTGTTCCCAGAGCAACAGAGGGACAAGGGTGCTATGGGGCTTAGGACACACCCTTCTTCGACAGTTGAATGTTTCACAGTATGTGCACAGATGTGACTTTTCAATTAAAAATTGAGGTTTTGCTTTGCTTTAAGAAGCCCAGAGAGAGGGCAGCCCTGGTGGCTCAGTGGTTTAGTGCCGCCTTCCGCCCAGGGTGTGATCCTGGAGACCCAGGATTGAGTTCCACATCGGACTCCCTGC